AATGCCCTTTGTCTGAATAGAGGATTGTGAAAGTTCTCTCAAGATTCAATGGCAATGCATCCCCACCATGGTAAGAAGTGGACACTGCTGACCCTTAGCAGTACAATACTATGTTCTATTTTTTTAGGTGACACCTTTACTTCTTTGATCAGGAGATCTTTGCATACAGTTTTCTGTGTCGTCGTTCTTACAATGTGGTACTGCTCTTTTATTTATATGTTTATTTTTTAAAATTAATTGATTAATTAATTAATTAATTAATTTTGGTCCTTCTTCTGTACTTTCCGTCTGTTGTTTCTGTCAGTCTGCCTTAAATGACCATTACTGTGTCGCTGAGCTTTTTTTTTTACTAAAACATACAAACTGCCTGTCCGTCCGTCTGCTTGTCTGTTTTTTTGTTTAAAAAAAAATAATTTCGGTTGTTTGGGGGAATGAACAACTGTCCCTATAACTACCATCACCTGGAGCAATAATTTGAGTGACTTTCCTTTATTAAGGTAAGAGTTTTACGGCACTTGCAATACAATAAGGTCATTATATATGTGTCGAAAATCAGACAGTAACAAACACAAAAAGAAGGAGGATAGATGTTTGATGGAAAAGATGAAAAAATATCACATTAGAGCATCCGCCAACCTCAATTAACCTCTTTCCGTAACGTAAGCCTGTATACAAGCCGCTATTTTGATTCCACTTTACTTTCAAAGTCTTGCGTCATGGTTGCTGCGAGATGTAATGTTGCTAAAGCGCCAGTTAGGTGTTGATACTCCATTTCCAATACTCTTTGTATCTAGTTCACCTCTGACATCAAGTGGCGGGTGCTCTGGTGTGGTTTGCTCCTTCTTTCCTATCAAACAACTATCGTCTTTATCTCTCCTTCTTTTTTGTGTTTGTTACTCTCTTATAACACCTCTATTCTTCGGCACTTATATGATCTTATTGTGTTGCTAGTGCCGTAAAACTTTTACTAAAACAAACATAAAACATCAAGGAGAAAAAAAACTTTAGATAGACCCGCTCTGTTTTCTAAATATTTACCAACATCCATTTTATCAAATAGGTAACTGAAAGGCTTCCCTGCATTTTGGTCCTTTTGCTTCTATTTATGTGGCACTGTCATCTTGTTCTGCCCTTTTCTGTGTTGTTTGTTCGAAGTACTGCTAGTGTCGTGCCGACTCGCCATCAATTGAAACTCAGTTTTATTCTTGGATTCAGGAGCCGAATGGTAGAAGATCGTTTGACTTATGGTGTACCTCAGACTGATTTACGGATAGAAAGTAGACACGCCTTATCAATCAGATGAACTATTGGTGTAGCTACTTTGTTAAGCCAGCTGTAAAGCTTGTAATTATGAGCTCACACGAATGAGGTTCCTTGTTGTTTTGTGTTGTTTCTGAAGTCCACACGTTTTTCACGTTTCTACCGTCATCTTGATTCTGTTGTATAACCAGAGTTTTAATCTCTGGTTTAACTGTCTGTAAGATCTATTTTACTGAATACACTTGCGTCAGGCCCAGTAAATATCAAACAATTTGAAATCGCCACAATATGCATTGTATAATACAATTAACTAAAGAAAATCCTAAAATACAATCGTTTAGTGATAATGCTCTCAGCTAACACACACACAAAAATTGAAAGCAGGACTATGCGTTCAACTTAATTTCATTTCTGTTCTTTACCTACCTTTCATTTTCTCTGTTTTTATTTTTCTTTCCTTGTGTCTTTCTGTCCCTGTAATGAAGGGGAGTTCCATGTGAAAGTATTCATTTGATAGAATAGTTAAACATCAGATAATAAAAACTGGTGATCGGAGGGCACAGGTGGTAGGTCCTACTTCTTTTGTTTCCCCCCGCTCTCTCTGTTTTACTATTTCCTTGTATTAACTGGCCAGTATTGTATCGATATGTTTCCGATTACTCAAACATAAAAACTAAATAATCAAATCATAAAAGTGTATTATCCTTGGAAAAAATCTAGTGTGCTTCGTAGATATTGCCCCCGAAATATGGTTTGGGTTGCAGGAAACCTGGTATTATCCCGCCCACTGCATTATGTTGTGATCCTATCTGGCATAATCGAGCTAAACAAAGTAAAGGTTGTCTTGTATAGATCTATCTCTGTGCATCCATCATATAATTTATATCCTCAGAGCTTGAATTGCTGTGAGTGCCTCGAGAGTATCGGTTTTTTGAAGTTGTTCGTTTGTTTGTCGTGTTTTTCATTGTTCTTTTTAGGCAAGGCGTAAGGTAACGAGGAAGCAAAAGTTGCTGTGCGCTTCAACAAAATTGATACTGCAAAATCACCTATCGTCTACGATATAATATTATGCTCAGATATGTACAGGCTAATCTTGATAAATGCTACCTCCCTGTTCCTGACTCCTGGCAGAATGACATACACATTGGGAAGGAGACTTTGCGATAATGTCCTATTGTTCATTGTTCAAAACATCTAGACCAAACTGTTTTACTCCCCCCCCCTCCCCCTCCCCCCAGGGCAGTGCTACTGACTGAAGTGTCTTTAGGCCATTCCCAAAGGGGGGATATTAACATATTTTATGCACAGTAGAATTGTAAATGGGCTGATTTATCAATGTGATTCTCATACTATGCCGGAACAGCATAGGGGGAACTGATGCTTTTTCTTTCCTCATTTTGCATATCGTCATTTTTCCTCCTCTTCTTTTGTATGTTTGTCACTCTCTTGTGAACTGCTATTTTCGGGATGCCTTGATAGTCGAAACAGACTGTGTGCTGTTGAGGCTAGAGAGGTGAGCAGAGTAAACATACCTCGTTTAGACTTCTCTGTTGACATCCACCCTTTGGCGCTCATATGACCGTATTATGCAGTTGCTAGTGCCGTAAAGCCTTACTAAAACTAAAAACTATTTTACGTGCTCGGCCACGTTCTTACAACTCTTACGTTCATTATTACAGATTGTAATATGGCACATATTGCGTGATCTGTTTTTAATCTTTTGTAACATTAGTTCTTTCCAATCCTAAAAAAGTATAGTGCAAACTGTTTACCTGGTCATATATATGCTTTTATAAACACGTGTTCCTAAATAAAATTGTAGGACCTTACTGTTTATTTGACAAAAGATCTATTTCAAAACAGTTGTCAGACCCAGTATTTCGAATGGTTGTGTAACCCGTAGAGCCTGATACTTACCACATGGTCTTCAAACGGCTTTTTTGCGTCCTAAATCTAGAGTGTAATATCTCCTTTTGCATCTAGGGATTTTCTAAAAGACGAGTGACGCCAACTGATACTGGGCTATTTTATGTGAGTTTCAAAATGAGCAATGTGAAATTCTGTTACATTTGATAGCCTCAGACCGATAGCTCCTATTATTCGATAACAATATTGAATTTCCGTGGAAGTTTCACGATTCGATACCTAAAAAGCATTCTTTATAAAGAGCTCTTTGGCGCACAATGCATTCCTGATATTTCCCATGAGTATCGTATTGAATTTTCCCAACACGGCTGTCGTTGTTCGAACTGAAAAAATGGAAGAGTTTCAAAAGAAATGTTGATAAAAGCAAAAGAGGTTGCCACAGAACGTGTTCTCGAATATGCCATGATGTTTTCCTGCTAATGGCATTCATATTTCAACATTAAAGTTAAAATTATTGGTCGATGACCACCACTTTTCGTAACATAAACACACTCCCATTTACACTAGGTTTAAAATTGAAATGATATAATATTTCCAATAGTGTTCTTATTGATGCCATCTTGTTAGTGAAGAAGGTGGCAATCTGGCTGTTGCGCATGTGTTTTTAGCAAGATTAAGGTCTTGTTTTTGCCGAACTGTTTTGGGTTGCTGATTGGCGCAAACTGCAGTGGACTACAAATCATTAGCCTAGGTTGGACGTCAAAGGGTTATTTTTGTCTGAATAGAGAGACTGCCAAGTACAGAGTGACAGTAATTATTGTTTTATTTTGATAAGTGTTTTACCGCGTTCGCAACTGCGTGCGGCCATATGAACACGCGGGACACAATAAACATTGCAGTTTGGTAGGAATTAATTTTGAATTTTTGCCCGGTTGGCGGCCGAAGCCTACCGTCAGATTTCGAAGCGGGACGAAGACTGCGAGAGCTGTCTGGCTGTAATACAATTACTTTTTAATTGTCTTATTTGAATCGAAGTAGTTGTCTGGAAAAAAAGGATGAAATAAATAAAGAGAATATCCCGGTAACATTATTATTCAGTTCGAAGCAGAAAGCATTGCTATGGACATTCTGCAAGACATTATTTTTACTGTAGATCGAAATATGCATTCTATTCCAGTACTTATTTTTTAAAACGAAAAAAAAAAGCCAAAGATACTTGCAGCCAATAATATGCATACTAAAAGTCACTTAAATGAAACATAGTGATATGAGGCTACATTTAGAGGAGGAGAAGGGGTTCATTGGCGAATTTGAAACTACGAGGTGTATTTTTGATAACATTACGTCTGAATCGGAATACTAACTTTTATTAGAATTTTATGCTAGTGTAGACGCTATACTGTGGCCTCCACTTATTTTTTCAGTGTTATTATCTCGTACATTTCTTCACTTAGAACTGTGGGGGTTCATGGGCTTACTCACTCTTAACTATAACTATTACCATGGCCATTTCCAAACTTCATTTACATTGCCGCGTAATTTTTCTTTAAATTAGCGGATTTTGTAGGAAATTGGACAAATTTATCAGGATCAAATTCTCAGTCATCGTGTAAGAAATAGAATTACATGATAAATCTATCAGAATCAAATTCCCAGTCTTCTTGTAAGAATAAGAACAACATTGGATAAATCTATCAGAATCCAATTTCTAGTCGTGACATAACAAAATGCGTAACGTTAGATAAATCTATCAGAATCAAATATCCTGTCATCGTGTAAGTAAAAGAAATAGTTCCTTATTATATAAAATTTGGATATCTCGTGCCATTGTAATGCTTTGTCCTTCCTCACGTTGTTGTGTGCAATATTTCCAGACGATGTCGGACATCTCCGAGGCGTCCAGTGTGAGCGACACCCGGGGCTTGATGGAGGAGAAGGATGACGGCAAGCCACGAAGCTCTATACCCATGACGTCTTTCAACTTCATCAACTCCATCATAGGATCAGGCATCATAGGTGAGTATCTCTTGTCTTTTGTCTCGAACCGTAAGTTTGGAAGTGCCTTTTCGAAATATATTGTAGAAAAAAAACTTACATTTTGTAAAATATACTTCAGTTCATTTTCTAGAAAATTACATTAAGACATTAAGAATACGTTTTAAATACACTTGCATTCTGTATATTAGATTATAAACGTCATAGAACTTGCTGTTGACCAGGCTAAACACATGCCATTATGACTGTTATTGTTGTTATTATTATTATCCTCATTATTGCCTTTTTCGTTTATCTGTTTATTTATTTATTCATTTTTTATTTAAGGGAAAAAAGGGGTCAAAATTAAAAGGGTTACACTTTTTTGTCAGCGAATGCTTGTCTGAAACAAATTATATATCTGCATCTTTTGGCACAGTTATAATGTAGGTGATTGTCTTTTAATATCCCTGGGACGAAATGAAAGAAAGGTACTCCATTTTTATCATTTATCTCGAATACAGTTCGACATGATACTGTTGCAAAATTTTCTGTTCAGCCTTCTTCGGTCCTTTATGTCTTTCTTTGTTAATATCCCTGAGGTCTCTCTTTGTTTGCTTTAAACACTACTGTACTGTGATATTATACTTGTTCTTGAAAACAGACAAACGACAGACACACACAGATATATAAACACACATGCAACACGCACACACACAACCACACACACACACACACACAC